TCAGTCATGAGTATCAGCGCGGTGCAGACTCCCCTGGGACAGGCCAGCCCGTACGCCCTCCTTCCACCAAAGCACGGGACGGATCCTCGGTGCCGCGGCTGGTGGCTTGGGTAGGCTTTGCTGTGCAGGATGCAAAAGGCTTTCTCTCTGTGCACGTGTTGACGGTGCGGTTCCCGTGGCGTGTGAAAGTGCACTGGGACACCAGGACTGGGTCAATGGTTTCTGCGGCAAAGGCTGTAGGGTGCCAAGCCACCAAGAGTGTCTGGATGGCTGGGGAGGACAAGCCAGCAGGCTGGAGTGGTGACAGACACATGAAGAGCCGAGCACCTAACCTGCACCTTGTGTGACCTCCCAGGCTCCTGTGTCCATCCGTGCATCACTCAGAGGCACGGGGCCATTACAGAGTCGGGAGCTCGGTAGCGGAATTAATGCCAAGGGCTTCACACTTCATTCCAGCCCGCATGAATGGGCTCATTGTAGGGAACAGAGCAGCGGCAGCACGCGGATTACACGGCATCATGGCAGCCCTGGCATCGTGCCCGCCCGACCTTTGTGTCCCCGGCAGGGCAGCCAGGAGAGCTGGCCGGGAGGAAGGCAGCTCTTTGCAGGGGAAGGAAGGGGACCTCTAAACCCCAGGTCTTCACTCTGGAGCCCTGTCTGAGAAGAGATGCGTGACTGCTGCATCTCAGCTCCTCCTGCTGCTCAAACATCTTTACATTTGCCTGCACAGAATCAGGCAATTCTGCGTTTGGACCTCTGGCTCGTGCAGCGTGGTGACGCAGGGACCGAGCGCCTCTCACCCCACATGCCCCACAGCAGGCTGGGGGTTACGCTCGGGTCGTGTTTCGTGGTGGCCCCATAGTCCTGCTGTCAGGTGGGAAACCAACGGAAGTCAGCTAATTAGCACTAATTAATGTTGCCAAGAGGAACCGTGCTTTTCCAGCTAAGTGTGGGACAGCCCAGGTGATCTTATCCCCAAGCAGAGTCACAGGCGCAGTGAGGCAAGGGGGTATGGTCCTGTCCATCCCTCTGCAGAATCGGTCACCTCAGGCAGTGACAGGGGCTGCGGGGACGGTCACTGCGGCTCTCTGCCCCGTGGGCTGGGCTCTAAGTCACCCCCCAGATCCCTGTGTCCTGCTCTCCGGCTTGCGCTGTCCCCCAGCCATGCTGAGAGCCTGCTCACCACGCCAGGACAGCAAAGGGACATCGTGGGAGTGACAACGGGGAGCACAACTGTGTGCTGGGGACTAAAGGCTTCCTCCCATTAATATCACCTCTACCCGGGGCCAGGAGGGACTAAAGGATGTGGGGCAAACAGGGAGAATTTACTCCCTAGTGATTTGTTTCGATCTTGAAGGGTCTGGTTCTCATCCACAGTTTGCAAAAGCATTTCCTGCCGGCCAGCTGCCAAGGAAAAACGGACCAAAAATAGCCCCGCGCTTAGGAGGTGCCGTGGCATGGCACAGTGCCTCCCACGTGTGCCCTGGTCTGGCAGCAGCGGAGCCCGGGGAACGGAGGACACTGTGGGGAGCAGTTGGTGCCCTAGCAGCGGGGGAACAGCCGCAGGCAGAGGTGGAACTCACCGCTGCAGGGCTGCTGTGGGGAGTCGTCCACCACTCTGCATCAGGACCTCTCTTTGCAGACACTGAAGCCGTGGCTTTGCTTTTCCCCTTTAGGACGTGTCTCGAAAGCATCACACCTGGAAAGAGCAGAGTCCTTGGCTGTCTTCCTTGGTGAACGCTGTGGGGACCGGGGTGCCCGCCAAGGGCTTCCCCGTGGGCGCGGATGAGCAGGCGGCACGCTGGAACCCGCCCCGGTGCGGCGTGCCGGACCTCCCGGCGTCGCCGGACGGCCAGAATGGGCGGAACCGGCAGAAGCGGTTTGTCCTCTCCGGCGGACGCTGGGACAAGACTGATCTCACCTACAAGTAAGAGAGGCCTGAAACGGGAGTCAGGCTGGTTTGCTTCTCCCTCCCCAAACCCCTCAGTCTGATGTTCCCTGGGGCGCGGCACGCTGCGACACGACCACGTAAGCTGGAGGGCAGCCCTAAAACTGGGTACGGCCAGCTGGGGGGCAGGGGAGCCACGTGCTGAACCACCAGCAGGGCCGTACCCAGCACCTCCCCATCCCCTCGCGCACACAGCCGCCCACCCGCCCTGCCTAAACGCGTTCCGCACAGCCGCTGCGTCACCCCTCGGTCAGTCCCGCATCAACGCCCCCGCGTGCATACGCTCACTTCCCTACATCGAACCCCGACACATGCCCAGCCGAGCCTCTACCACTGGCCCTCTCCTGCTGTGCCTTTTCTCCCCCCAGCCGCCCCGCTGTGGGCTCACTTCACAGTTTATTTTAAAAAGACCTTTTTATTCAGCTGTTATTGATGTTCCCGTAAACACGACTTCAGTGTAAAGTTTCGCCCAAGTCACCCCACACGTCCTCAGTTGCGAATCTGCTCAACAGGCTTGCGGGAGGGCTGCGCCGCCTCCCCCGGTGCCCGCAGGGGCACGAGTGGAGAGGTGAGCACGCTCGTATGGACTTTGACAGCACGTAAATCATCTTTTGTTTAATTAAGTGCAGGAGACAGTTCCTCATCGTGTTAGGAGGCGATAGATAACAGAAAGGCTTCTTCCTTTCTTTTTTCGTCAACGGTGTTAAAGAAAGAAACACAGCAGAGGCGAACACACACCAACACTGTTAATGGAAGCGAAAGCAAGCTTCCCCTGTGGCAGACCTTACCGTCTGCCTGTGTTAGAGGAGGGCAGAAGAGGCAGCGGCTGCTCCGAGCGAGCCCGGGTTTCCAGGGCTCCAAAAAACGCAGAGGTTGAGGAGGAGAAATCACATCACACCACTCCCAGGCACCTCTGTGGGGCTGGACTCACGGGGGACAGGCCTGGGAAATGCTGCATCGCTTCGCTCCAGAAAAACACAGATCTGCAAAGCTCTCCAGAGAGCTCACCTCTGGGCCCGCCAGCCAGGGGGTGTCAACACTGATGGGATTTATCTGCTGCACATGTTGCTTGGAAGAGGGTGCCGGAGCAGTGCTTGTACGGATCGGAGTTGTTCCGGTGCTGCGAGAGGGTGGCGGCCCTAGTGACACTGATCCTACAGCTAGCGTCTTCGTGACAGCAGTGGCCGTGGGACAGCGGCTGATGCTCTCCTCATCCAGTGTCTGTTGCTTTTCAGAATTATCAGGTTCCCATGGCAACTTGTAAAAGCTAAAGTGAGAAGGACCATCGAGGAAGCTTTGAAAGTCTGGAGCGACGTGACGCCGCTGACCTTCACCGAGGTGCAGGAGGGCCGGGCTGACATCGTCATCGATTTCACAAGGTGGGCACGGTGGGCAGCAGCACCCTGCTCCCAGGCAGCAGCGGCTTTGCAGGCAAGACTCCAAGCCTCTAACCAGAGCAGAGAGCTGCCAGCACACAACTTAGGCACTTCAGTTAATAATGAGTTAATTAAGCTCATATTTCTGCTTTCAGACACCAGGATTTTTTTGGTTTTGGGCTTTCTTTTTTGTCAGTTGTGGGCTGCTTGGTGTAAGCGCAGCTGTTCTGTGCTGGCTGCGCACAGTACCGTTACTGATCGGTCATTAATTTTCCTGGTACATTTACGTTTCTCTGCCCACAGGCTGTTTTCCTAAGCGTTTGTTTTGACTTTCCATCTTCAGGTCCTCCATCCTGTCCCTTGACTGAACGACGTAACTGTCTGCCCAAAGACAAATATAGTTTCTTGGTTAAATGAATCTTGGCTCCTGGCCTGAAATTCACTTTTGGCAAAATACGCGCGGGGGCAAAGACTTCCCTCCGCTGCGTGTTTGCACAAAACTAATAAAGGCAGCGGAGACCATCCAAGCAGTGATGCGACGTACACGCTGCGTGCTTGCCCGGGCCTCCCCCAGCTCTCTCGAGCGGCCACATCTCCCACGGGTTTCCTTCGCCAGTCAACAGCGAGCTCGGCTTGAGCGAGGGCCTGAGGGTTTGGCTGCATTCGGGGCCGGCTGCCCCGCTGCGTCCCCCTGCCACTCAGCTATGTCAACTTAGTCTTGGCTCAAGCAGTCACCTCCTTAATTCTTTAGGCTCCGTGGTCAGCTTTGGGCTGGAAGCTGAACAGGGGGAGGAGAGAAACATCCCTGAGAAAGCATATGAACTCCCCAGGGCGTGGTGTGACCAAGCTCTGCTTTCTCAGTGCCCTGATGCAGAACCGAGTTTGTGGCAATACGAAGGGCCCCAAACGATTCATCCGGACCGGTGGGATGAAGCTGGGATGGGAGCGAGAGCTCCCCACCTTTGGCCATATGATGCTGCTCACTGGAGGTACGCGGCCGTTTGT